ATGAGTATCGATTGACAGGCAACCTTATTGTTGAGATGACAGCACAGCAAACACATCCTCAAAGTGGGTAGCACCTTATTAGCATCAACTGACTCTTACCATGTAGGAACTCAGGCTCAAATCTCAATTTTATATTGCTTTTTTCTCCTAAAATAATACAGGAATATGGGCTTTCAAGTGTAAGATTTCCTTATCTTAAATATTGGCAACAATTTGTGTCCCATAATTTTGTATGAACCCTTACTATAAAGACCAAATTGGCCATGTCCATAAGCCACATTTGGTTCACAGTCCACAAGTCTATACTTTTTGAGAACATTCCAGGAAGGTAAAAGCAACAAAAATAAAATTCTAAAAAGGATGATTTGGAATAAGCAAATACCATTTAATATGGAAGAAGATAAATTGTATATCTTGTGCACAAACTATTTATTACACAAATACTTTACATAGTTCATTTAATACTTACAAAAATCCTCTAGTACAATATTTTATCTCCATGTTTTATGGTAAGTGAACTGAACCTTAAAAAGCTAAGTAACATGATGGTTTTAGATTGTGTTAACCAAGAAGTAGATGCCAAATAAAGATGTTTGAGTGTAATTTGTTAATTTGGGAAATATTGTTATGAAGCACTGGTAGGGATGTAAAGAAGTGAGACAGGGAAAGGAAGGAAAGGAAGTCATTAGAGAATGGGATAATGAGCAGATTATCTGAGTATACAACTGGATAGACTATGTAGCCTCAGAATTGATTCACTCTGTCCCTATCTTCCCAAAAGGAAAGGAAGCTGCAGTATTTATCCACCACACCTGCCTGCCATTGGTTAAGGGCTACTCCAAGAACTTTAATCACCTGGTACTTCTGATGTGCCATCATGCTGCTGCCAGAGAACATCTCTATGGGCAAAGATAATCTTCAGGAAGAGAGTTACAGGTTTCTGCAGAATAAAGTTATAGATATGTATGGATGTCCTGAGTGCCAAGGAAATACAGGGTCCAAACCACATCTGCTTCACTTGACCAAATTGGCATATGTGTTTATACCAGGGATGGGAACAAATCCAGGGTGTGAAGTGAAGGAAATTAATAATAAATACTAGACTATAGGTAGAAACTGGAATGATATGGTATTATAGAATTCAAGAGTGGGTAGAATAAGAGATTTATAAAAATTAATGAGATCAAATAAATTGTATTAATCCATTCAATGCATTATATTTTCTTTGGGAAAATATCAAAAATTAAAATATTCTATACTCACATTGGAATTTGCAACTATCTTGAGTGTTAGGTTTCAATGTGTGAGTTTTAGGGGAACATAAACATTTAGACAATAAAAATAGGCTTTGAAAGCAGAGTCTGATTGTACATTTTTAACTAGCTCGGAAGCAAATGACCCTTGGCAAGCAACAAAATAACTTGCTACTTGCGCACTCATTGGAGGGAACAGATGACATTCGCGTAGAACATACAGAGGAGAACGAGAGGAAAAATAAGTCTAGTAAGTTCAGAACAGTTGAAAGGCTTTGAACTATTACTATGCCCACACTGCTACTCAAAAAGCAGGTAATGTACTTTTTGTCTACTTTATAAAGCTAGCTAATCCATAGTTTCTTGAATTTCAACTTGGTCTTTCCATTAGAAAGATCTTTTAATCGGAAAAAATATAACTTTGTCTCAAGTCTGGGTTGCATGACCCATGAAAAAGTATCTAAAAGAACCCTAGACCTGTCAGAGAGATAACTGTTGCTTAGTAGCACATATTGGAGGACCACTTTAGAAAAGAAAGATGTATTGATGTGTGGAGCTAGATTTCCCAGAGAAGCAGTTTACATCATGCTCTGCAAAGTATTTATCTGGCAGTCAATAAATGACACTGATGATGGTGATCTGTTGGACTTACAAGAGCACCTGGAGGAACTATCATGCCTGACTGATAAGCTGAGAGAATACAGTGAGAAATAGAATTGGAACCATGAGAGCTCCACTTGATAAATTGCCCGAAGTTCAGAGTCCATGAAAAAAGATTGAAGTTACTGTTGGTGATTGAATAATTGGAGATTGCAAATAATACTGGAATTTCTATTTTTTCCACTTACTATTAATAAAGAGATGCTCCTTAATGAATACTTAACGTTTTGCTTCTCAAAATCTTTACTCTTATTTAGCAAATGGTGAGAAAAAATCAACCAAAAGCAAACTCATCTTAGCATAAAATGTTACCAATATAAAATGACTAAAATCACTATATATTAATATTAAGATATGACATATTAATATATAAAATGTTTTAGTAGAATGTTTTGGGGTGGTCATCATGAATGAAAAACAAAATGCAAAACCAAAAATGAAGTTTCTTGGAAGAATTGAATGTGGTATTAAATTAAGATTCATGGGATCTATCTATAAATTAGAGTAGAAGGTCTGACTTAGTAGTTTATCCTATGTATTTGCTATAGGGGATACCCTCAGGTATACTACTCTCCCTGGTATAAGACCTCATCAATTTGCAACTTGAGGCTATGTTAAACTCACCAATCTCAACAGAAAGAAAGAGGAAAGTTCTCACAAAGGCAAATTACATAAAACTTCACTAGAAAAAGGAAGTGACATAAGTTCAAGATAAAGCAAAGAGCTCAGGGAACACAGTGGAGAAGAGATTCATCTATAAATAAAAGCAGAAATGCTAAGTTGCCCCAATTTATTTTGAAACACTATTCTTTGATGATTGCCTATAAGCAGCATCTAGGTTTGACTCTTAATAGATTTACAGAACATTCTTTGCACTTATTTTATTCTATGTCTAATGCTGAATTTCAAGTTGCTGGATAACCTAGAGAAGCTTATTGCCATGGATACAGTAAGAAGTGATTGTTAAAATAGACTCTGAATGTTTATTTTTCTAAGTATTTATTTTGAATACTTATTTACAGTTTTTTATTTTCAATTTGCTTATGTAGTACAATTTCACCTCTCCATTTCCCTTTGTTTTTGCCACTTACAACAAATCAGAGGTTTAGCTATTAGAACTGAAATTGTGTCACTTAAAGTAGATACTGTAAAGTACTACCACTCACATTGGTGACCTTCATTGTTACATGACTGTCAATTAGATTAACATTGACATTAGATTTAACAAGGTAATAGAGAAATATTATCACAATAACTATATCCACTCAAGTAAAGGTTTGCATCATGAAAAAATTAACTATTTTTGATGTTTTATTATTTTGTTGAATTGCACTATTATAAAAATGCAGAGCTCAGTAGCAAGAGTAAAGTGAAAGTAGTAGGGATATTTAAATTATCTTGGAAGACACTGCCTCAAGTGGATTCCCTTCACTTTCCCCCATTTGTTGGGTATTTTATTTTCTTTATAGTTATTGTGACTGGTATTGAGTGTTTCATTTGGCTCTCAGCTTGACTATTACTGGTATAAAGCTACCTACAAAGAAAATAAAGTCCTTAGGAATATTCTTAACCAAGGAGGTGAAAGATCTCTACAAGGAGAACTATGAAAGACTATGAAAGAAATTGAAGATGACACAAACAAAATGAAAAATAAATTATGCTCATGGATTGGTAGAATCAACATTGTTAAAATGCCACATTGCCCAAAATGACTTACGGATTCAATGCAATCACCATCAAAATACCAATGTCACATTTTACAGATATAACGAAAAAAATTTTATCCTTAATTTGGAACCAAAAAAAGAGTCTGAATAGCTGAATCAATCTTAAGCAAAAAGAACAAATCTGAAGGTATCACATTACGAGACTTCAAGGTATACTACAAGCCAATGGTAACAAAGAGGGCATGGTATTGGCACAAAAACAGAGATATAGACCAATGTAACAAAACAGAGAACCCAAATACAAAACCGTCTGTCTATAACCAACTGATATTTGACAAAGCAGACAGCAACATACACTGGGTAAAAGAAGCCCTATTCAATAAATGGTGCTGGAAAAATTGGATAACCACATGTAGAAAAACAAAACTGGACCCCTAACTCTCATGCCCTAAAAAATTAATTCAAAATTAATAAAAGACTTAAATGGAAGGCACATAACAATAAAAATTCTAGAAGAAAATGTAGGAAAAACTCTTCTAGACATTGGACTAGGCAGTGGATTTATGACTAAGCCCTCAAAGGAAATTGAATAAATAAATGAGACTTGATTAAATTAAAAGGTTTCTGCATAGCAAATGAAATAATCCACAGAGTAAATAGACAACTTACAGAATGGAAAAAAATATTCACAAACTATACATCTGATAAAGGGCTAATATCCAGAATCTACAAAGAACTCTAACAAATCATCAAGAAAAAAACAAACAAACACACAACCCCACTAAAAGTGGGCAAAAGACATGAACAGAAGTTTTCCAAAAAAAATTTACACAAGTGGCCAAAAAACATATGAAAAAATGCTCAACATCACTAATCATCAGGGAAAAGCAGATTACAACCATAATGAGAGATCATCTTACCCCTGTCTGAATGGCTATTATTAAAAAGTGAAAAAAAAAACAAAAAACAATAGATGCTGAGAGAAAGGAACACTTATACATTGTTGGTGAGAGTATAGATTAGTACAACCTCTGTGGAAAATAGTATAGATATTTCTCAAGGAATTAAAAGTAGATCTATGATTTGATCCAGTAATCCTACTACTGGCTATCTAGCCAAAGGGAAAGAAGTCATTTTATCAAAAAGACACCCACACTTGAATATTTTCTGTAGCAATTCACAATTGTAACAATGTCATGAATGAATTAACAGAATGTGGTGCATATATACGCCATGGATTACTATTCAGCCATATAAATAAATGAATTAATGTCTTTTGCAGCAATTTGGATGGAACTGGAGACCATTATCCTAAGAGAATTATCTCAAGAATAGAAAAACAAACACCACATATACTCTCTACTAATCTGGAATTAATCGATGGGCACATATGGGCATAGGGCATTTCATTTTTTGTGTGTGTCTTTGTACAAGACTTTATTAAATGTCTTTACAGAGGAACATCCAGACTCCAGATACAGCTGCCAAGGAGACCCTGTTATGCCGTGGGGACTGGCTGGGGCATGGCAGGCAGCTCTGGCTTCCCACCCTTCTGTTCCGAGATGGGGGTGGTAGGCAGTATCTCATCTTTGGGTTCCACGATGCTCACATGGTCAGGCAGGGGTTTCTTAGGGCCAATCTTACCAGTAGGGTCTCAGGGCAGCATGATCTTCACCTTGATGCCCAGCACACCCTGTCTGAGTAGCACATGGCACACGGCAGTGTCAACATAATAGTTAACAGGGTCCCCACTGTGAATCATAAGGCCATCCACAACCTTCATGGACTTAGCCCTCTCTCCTCGGAGTTTCCCAGACACCACGACCTCTTTGTACTCACTTTGTACTCACCCTACTGAGTACAAAGTTATTCTCATTTGTATCCTTGATTGAACACATGGGCGTGGGAGAAGTAAAAGTCATTGGAATCAAGAAGGAAAAGAAGGAAGGGAAGGGTAAAAACCTATACACAGGCACAGTGGACACCATTCAGATGGTGGGCACACTAATAGCCCTGACTTAAGCATTAAAAAGCTTCCATATAACAAAACATTTATACTTACTTAATATTTTGAGATTAAAAAAAAATTCAAGCACATGAAGTATGATCCATTAGCACTATGCCAAAATCATTCAGAACTTGAGAAATGTGTTTCATTATTTACTAATACTAATGTTGATAAAATATATTCAGCATGTCACTACTTATATAAGAACTATATAAATAGTTCTTATAATCTATAGCATGACAATTAGGTGAAATAGATAGAAAATGTACAACTACATCTGTATTATAAATAAACTGAGTTGCCCAAGATTTCATGTTAATATATGTAAAATTCAGAATTAGAATCTTAACCAGAGTCAAGCAATACACTTGGTTTAAGCTAATGAGTAAAAATCATTTTACACATCATTTAGAATCTGACAATACAGGCAGTGATACACATACTGCAGGAATGGATGTTTAATAATAAAGGATCATCTCCTCTTCAAGTATGTCTTTTCACTAAAACAGTTTCAAAATGTTTGATTTATCTTCATAATATGATATGTTTTCATCATATTAGAGTTTAATGCTTTTAGTTTAATGTCTGGCACATAGTAAATATACATTTCTGAATAAATGGATGGTTAGATGGCTGAAAGAAAAGCTATTGAATTGCCTGTCCAGCTGGATAACTGTATTCAATAAAAAAAATCTTGAGACTGTGGTATGTGGAATTATTATTGGATTACATAAATGAATAATGAAACTAATAAATTATTTATTTCATCTAAAGAAATTATAATCAAATGTTACAATAGATAATGGTGACTGTTAAAATTATTCATTTCTGGACTCCATTTCTCATAAAAAATTCAATATACATAGGTTGGGATCTAGGAATATGCACTTTAACATGCTCAAATTTATGCTAATATGGAATGTCTTTAAATTATGTTTTGAGAAATACACTAACTTGGTAGATACCCTTTTAAAAATTTCTGAGTAAGTCTATTACAGAATGAAGCAGTTAAGCTTTATAGAGTGTATGCATCTAGAAGCACTCAGTTGATTTCTGTACCCCTGCCAGAAGTCTTCTAAAGCCATTCGAGTATTGCTATAACATACAGATACTAAGGACAAAACCTCAAACTTGTGTAGAGTATTTGACATGTACAGGGCTTCAGAGTGTAAAGTGTAGCTCTTGCTTTAAAATGCCAAGGTTAAAACCTGGCTATCTCTTTTAGTTGTAACTCCTTAGGCACATTACTTCTTTCTTCTTCTGTTGCTTTATTTGTACGAGGGGAAAAAATAATAATATCTCCTTTTTAAGATTTTTGGGATAATAAAATGCATTGATTCTTGTCAAGCTGACACATTATAAGCTCTTAATCAGCACCATTTTCTCTCCCCAAATCTATGTTCTTTTCCTCCATTCCTCTAATTCCTTGGAATGCTATGATTAGAGATACATGGAAACCTTAAAGCTTAATAGTATTATAGAATGGATTAGCAAATCCCGTTTATTTTAGAAATAAGATAACATCAACTAAAGAGGTTGCTCAAGATCACACAACTAACCTGAGAGAAATAGAACTAAAGCTCTAAATAATGATGATCCCTTGAATATATATTTCAAAATATCTTTGTGAACCATACTAATTTCCTGGGCTTAACTCCTGAGCTACATAGGACAAGCAATATTTTTTTCCTTGGGAAGTATGTGTGGAATCTTCAGGTTCTAGAGTGAGAATGAGTTTTTATGCACAATAAAGGTAAGAATGCACCATAAGCCACCATTCCCATTTTCTCTAATAAACAGATATTTTTGTGCATTTATTTACTAGGTAAATAATAATTAATAGGGTATATCTCAGCCATTCTACTGAGTACAAAGTTATTCTCATTTGTATCCTTGATTGAACAGATGGTACAATACAGAAATGATGAATTTTTTAAAAAAGAAAAATTCTCATGAGAGAGAACTAATGACTAAAAATTCTCTTTCAGAGTATAGAATAAAAAATATAGAAGTTTGCTGTTCTGCATTTTTTCAGTCATTAATTATTTTAAAAGCATCAATTAAGTCAAATTCATTGATTATCAATGGAAATGGATACACCTCTTATTTCGTCAAATACTTAAAACACGTGCTCACCAAGTGTTATAGGCAATGTAAAGTCAATACAACAAGGTGTTGTAGGCAATGTAATGTTTATATTTAATAATGGATAAGCCAAGAAAATTGCCAAAAGTAGATTTTTTTTCAAGAATCTCATATCTGTGTCCCATCAGACCTACAATAATGGACTTTCTCTACTAAATACTCTGAAGAGATTTTAATCCAAGTCTTAAAAAATCATAGAAAAAACTACATGTATGCATAGAAATACAACAAAATTTTATTGCAGTTTTATCCTTTTTATCACATTATGTGAGGAAATAAGAAGAAAAAGAAATAAAATTATTAGATTTGAAATTTGAAACAAAAGTCAAAATCCTTCTACTTATGCCATTTTATAGAGTGGTAATGAAAGAATACACATATAGATACAATAGCAACTAATGTATAAATATATGTCTAACACCATTATTCACAAGCATTACAATGGATATGCTAGCCTTTTATATAATGAACTTCAGATTTTAACCCAAGATATAATTATGCTTTTTTAATATATGAAGAATATACTGTCTTCTATATACAGTAAGTCCTCATTTAATGTCATTAACAGGTTCTTGGAAACTGACACTTTAAGCAAAATGACATATATCATTTTATCAATGTTTGCATCAGTAAACTTATACAAACAAGATCTAAGTTTCTGTAGCATATTTCTGGTTGCAAAATATCAACAAACTGCTAAATAAACACATAAGCAATTCTAATATTCAACATTGAAATAAATTGAGCTATTAATATGCATGCATTTAAGAAACATTAATAAAAACAAGTAAGATAATTATCTCCCCAATTATTCCAGTTCTGGGTCATGATGGCTGTTGCTCAAGACTCCAGGGGGAACCCTCCCTGGCCAGGACACCAACCCACTACAGGGTGCACTCACACCCACACCCACACTCACACTGGGACAGTTTAGGCATACTGATTAACCTAACACACACCTCTTTAGAGTGAAATAGGAAACTGGAGTCCCCAGAAAAAATCATGCAGACATGAGGAGAACATGCAAATCCCTCATAGACAGTTGCTCTAGCCTGTAATTGATTTTGCCTCTCATCAATGTTATAATAAAATGATGTTGAACAAAATGATATTATTCAGGATCTTATGTATTTGAATAATGTTTTTAACAAAAAATATATTAGTTTAATTTATGTATACTATATATGATCCACTATATATATATTTAGCAATAGAGTAATGCACACAATAAGTCTGCTATTATTCTTTGACTGAAACAAATTTATCTTTAGCCAAACATTAATAGAATAATCCTGATACAAAAATTAAAATCTTATCACCAATCTTCAACATTAGTTTTTCCAATGAAACTTATTATTGACATTCTAGAGTTTATATGGAAAAGTAGAAGCCATAAGCCAACACCATATTGATATAGAAAAACAAAGTCAGAGGACTACACTACACAACTGCAAGACTTATTATAAAACTGAAGTAATCAATATAGGGTAGCATTGCCAAAAGAGTAGGCAAATGATCAATGCAACAGAATAGAGAGCCCAGAATTTGTCCCACATAGACATAGTTAACTGTTCTTTTACAAATGAGTAAAAGCAATTCAAAAGAGAAAGGAGAGTCTTTTCAAAAACTGGTGCTAGAGCAACTGGAAATTCACATTCAATCAATTAATCAACAAATCTAGGCACAGACCTTATAGCTTTTACAAGAATTAATTCAAAATGAATCACAGACCTAATGTGAAATGCAAAAATATAAGTATCATAGGAGACATCTAGGAGACTTTCGATTTGGTGATGACTTTTCCAGATATAATACCAAATGCACTATCTAAGAAAGAAAAAATTGGCAATTTTCACTTCATTACTATTAAAAATTACTGCTCTGCAAAAGGAACTATGACAATGAAAAGGCAAGCCATTAGCCCAGGGAAAAATATTTGTTAAATGATTTGGATTTGGAATCCAAAATATACAAAGAACTCTTAAAACTCAACAATATGAAAACAAACAACTCAATTAAAAAGTGGGCAACAGATCTGAACAGACACCTCACCAAAGAAGAGACACAAATGGCAAATAATCATATGAAAGAATTCTTAATATCACTGGTCATTAGGGATTAGTACATTAAAATATTAATGAGATATCACTCACATCTAGTAGGAAAGCTAAAGTCCAGAGCACTGACTACACCAAATACTGGTGAGGATGTAGAGCAAAAGGAACACTTGTGCATTGCTGGTGGGAAAGAAAATTGGTACAGCCACTTAGAAAGATAGTTTGGCAGTTTCTTACAAAACAAAATATACTTTTGCAATACAATCCAGCAAATGCACTGCTTAGTATTTACCAAAATGAGTTGAAAAGTCATGTCCACTCAGAAACTGAACATGACTGTTTACAGAAGCTTTGTTTATAATTATAAAACTTGGAAGCAACCAAGATGTCCTTTAACAGGTGAATAAACAAACTGGGGTGTATCCATACAATGGAAATTATTCAGTGATAACAATAAATGAGTTATCAAGCCATTAGAAGACATGGTGGGATTTTAAATTCATACTACTAATTGAAAAAAACAATCAGAAAAAAATGATGCATATTGTATAATTTCAATTATATTATGTTCTGGAAAAAGGCAACACTATGAAGACAGTAAAAAGATCAGTGAATGCCAGGGGGTTGGGAGAAGGGAGGAGGCACAAAGAATAGTTTCATCCATAAAACAATTCTGTGTAGAACTGAAATGATAGTCACATGTCATTATACATATACCAAACCCCTAGAATGTACAGCACAGAGTGAATCCTAATATAAACTATGAACATTAGTAATAGTAATGATCAATACACTCTTCTATTGTAACAAATATACCACATTAATGAAGATACTAATAATAGAGAAAACTGGGAAATGAAATGGCAGTTAGGGGGTACATGGGAACTCTACTTTCCACTCAATTTTTCTGTAAACTTTAAAGTGTTCTAAAATATAGTCAATTAAGTAAAAGAACAAAAAAAGTAATGTGAGAACTATTTTTAAAGAGAAACAACTATTTTAATCCTAAATGATGACTCTTATTAAATTCCTTAATTATTATCTATAAAATTTAAACAAAAATTAAATGCTATGGAAAGATTTCTGAACTACAAAATTATTCCTAGTCCTCTATAAAACTATGGTTAATGAAGAATTTTAGAAGAATTTGGAAACACACACAAAGTACAACAACAATGAAGAATTTCAAGTTCGGAGAATTTTTTCTAACATTCAGTAGAGAATATTAAAAATATTCTCAAAATCACTAGGATAGTTTGAAGGGATTAGTATAATTAAGGAAGCTTAATCAGTGTTAGAAACTTAAAAAAACACCTTGCCTCCAAAAACCTGATCAAAATGAGATATTTTATTGTTTTTTTCCCACAATTTTTAAAACTTTTTTTGGCAGAAAGCACATTCTTTGGAAATGACTATTCTTACTTTAGTTTACTTATTGAAGATTTTATTTCTGTTGCTCTAGGCAAACCAAACATATCTTTCTTCTAGGATAGGATTTTGACTGGATATAATCAACAAAAATAATGCCTTCAAAACTGACTTCTGAAGATATTATTTCCTCCTTTATTTTTTTTAATTAAAAATAAGTTCTTCACACTATAGGTTTATCATTTCAATTGTAGTTCTTTGGAAATCTGAGGTATTAGTTGTTGCTTTTACCTCTGGATTTTGGTTCAGGCAGGCTCCTCCAATTCCAGTATTTTGGTGATCTGAATGTTTGTTGACCTGCAAGTCACTGTAATGTGATTTTATTACTTTACAGACCAATATGTAGTACCATTATAATGCCTTTGGAGCAGAAAATAAACATTTGTCTAGCTCTTTGCTTTTACTGTTTGAAATATGGTTCAATTACCTTCAGACTCATTCATTTTCTGTGCTCT